AAAAAAAAGTTAGTAAATATAAAATAATATCTAAAAATAGCTTTAAAAAAATAAAAATAGAATGAACTAGATTATACTATAAAATGATTGAAAATGATAAAAGACGTCTCCATCTTGTTCAGTTTTTTAGTGCAGTTATATATCAGTACAGATCAGATTTTTAATTGTTCGTTGGTTGTTAGATACTAATGACATTAGAGATTTTAAGATTCTAGTTTACGGCAAACGTGAAACGTCAGTTGATCATTAAAAAATTCTTTAAAATTAGTGAAAAGGAATCGCAAAAATCTCCAAGTAGTAGATAAACAAAAGAATACTTGTCTTTGTCGAGAAGGTTTGCAAAAGGTAAAGTGAAATGTAGGGAAACGATGAAAACGTGGCCATGTTTGCCGTTTGCGGGAAGGAAAAACTTGAATCCTAATCTGCCTACTATCACAAGGCGATTATGGCTGTTCAGTGATGACGTCATCATAACCGTTAGGCGGTTGCACATTGATGACGTTATTATTAGCATGACCTTGGTTAACGGGTTCTTCCACCAAGCAGTGATCAAAGCCCATTCTTCTAGTAAACTCGTTACAAAAGGTGCCATCTTTGTTGAACAGTTTGAATACTTTCTGCCATTCATTCAAGTTTGGGTAGAGCTTTTTTACTCGGTTTGAGCTCAGCTGGTTATTCTTAGCCCAGTGTGGTCTGGCGCTGTACTTCTTGGATAGTAGTTCCTCTATGGTGGCTTGGTATTCGTCGGTTCCAAAGGCGCCCGCCATGAATGGAACCTAAAGTGACGACCAACGTGATTTTTCAGCTATTATAGTTATTACTTGCAGTAGAGTTTTCGTTTGTGATGAGAGTAAGTCTTTTCAAATTTGATCGAACAATGATCTGAGCTAAGTCATGGCAAATTAGCTGAAGGAATCAATCACCAACCCCTTTCCCCTTATTAAGGAATATCGTATAGACTTTTGCGAAAGCGCTCGTCTCCATATTGGTTAGCGCGCGCTAAATAAAGCGCATGCAGGCAGGCAGCCCAATCAGCATGACATGTGCTGAACTAAGAACTTTTCCAACTTGATTCCCGACAATTTCAGAGACCCAAAAACGGGTCTGAAGAACATCATGTTGGGCATAGGTATCCCAACTTAAGGTTATCCTGGGCTCCGTCATTCAAGCAAGAGCCAAAGTTTTTTGATACTATAATCTGGAGTCCCTTTACATGGAGAATCCGGTATTTGTCTCAGAGTAGGACTGTAATAGGAGAAGACATTTGTCGGTAAGGACTTACCTCAATATAACAGCAGTGTTCTGTCTCTCCAGAAGCAAACCTTTTATTAGCTGGACTCAACAATAATTCGTCAGTCTTGGCCAAGCGCACGTAGATTGGCAACAAACTGTACTGTTGATGACGCTGAGCGTACTGGTTTGCTGTGTCAATGACGTCAGCAAGAGCTGCGTCCATTTGGTCCAGCGGTAAACACCATTCTGCTGTGCGCACGCTGTTAATGAAACGTAAACGTTAGTCTTGACAAAGTGAGTGTAGCTGCGCAACGTTTAAGGAATCTTGAATCACCACTGGAAGTACTCAGCTAAATTCAAGCAAGGTAATCATGCATTTCCAAATCGATTAGCTTAAACGGGTACGCTGTTACAGGATGTTGATAAAATTTGAACGGCTTATTTGCAGGGGGGTACAGGAGGAGAATCGGCTGCACAGATCAATGTTAGAAATATGTATAAGGGATCCAAACTCTGACCCCAACCCTCTCTCGTGCACTGCTGCAACTGGCTGAAATGAAACTAGTGAGGCTGAGTTTCTTTCATCCCATTTGATTATATCCATATAGAAAATGAGCTTTATAAAACATGACTGATTATAAGTAATCATTTGGTGTCCCATGTCATCCTACAGAGGAGAATAAATATTTGCGAGGAATAAGAGTCGTACTGGAAAGCCGTACTCACTGTACATTGCCATTAGTAAACTGCAAAACGTTGTAATACTTGTGAACGAACGGGTATTTGGCCCTGTCCATCAAAGACAAACCAAAGTTTGTAATGTCAGAAACACGTGATGGGCAGCAATTCGCACAGGATTGCAAGCAGCTTGTAGTGCAATCATTTTGTACCATGCCACATTCACTACAACCACGTCCACCTGAGCCACACCAACAGAGGCAGCACTTGCAGCAAGCGGGACGACGTGTTGTACGCTTGGACTGAAGAACTGCACCGTACAGGATACTAAATTAACATTGATACAAAAAAATATATGTGAAGATACATAAGCGAGTTTGTTTTATTTTGAGGAATCAAGTGTCATGTAGTGTTCTAGCTGCCGCTAGGATACATCGCGCGCAGTGTCAGTGCCATCATGACTCAAAATTCCTTTAGATATAAATAACAATGAAGCAGTCGCCACGTTGGTTCTTTTCTCTCTCATTTTTCCTTCTTAGTTCTTTCTTTTTCTTTTACTGCTTTTTCGTTTTGTTTTGTTTTGTTTTTTTTGTTGTTTTTTTTTTGTTTGTTTTTATGTTTTTTTTGTTTTTATTTGTTTGTTTTTTTGTTTTTGTTTTTGTTTTGTTTTGTTTTTCTTTTTATCTCTATTCCATCCTTTATTTATTCATTCGGGGTATTCTTTCATTTATAAGTAATTTTTGACATTACCTTCTAGGCTGTGGATAAGGATTAATGAAGAACGAGAAATATTCTCCTAGTTCAGGATCAGTAAACGCGTGAGTAAATCGCTCTCTGATGCGAAAACTATTTTTTCCACTCCAAGGAATACGAATAAGACTTCTCGTTTCTTCTAGATTGAACATAGGAATACATCGATAGGTGATGGAGTACACAATCCCTAACGAACCAAGCCCAACTACCGTCCCCTTCAACATGGTTGTACTATTCATCACCACAGGAATCCCACACGGCTGTGCGTCGTCGAGTTTCTGTTTACACTCTTCGAAAGTTTCGTTACCAAGGCCGATGCGTACTTGGATACCACGGTGAGTAATGAGGTGTAGGCCGACGACTGAAGTGGACTGTGAATATTGAAACACTACATTAATGGATGGGAAGACATGCATGACTCGAATTGTGACAAATCTGCACTCCACTCCACCCCTATGAGTTGGAAATATTTGTTAGACCATTCCTCTTTCTTATTAGTGGTACGTCACTATCCTAATTCTTGGAGCCCGCAATCGTCATCATACGGCATAAACATGGCATGGACACGGTCACGCTGAGGTCACGGCACTGCCAGTCCAATCACAATGCGCAAGAAAACAATCAGCCAATTAAAATTCCAGAAAACATCACGGTCACGGCAATGCACGCGTATACGAGCTTTTCACAGTCATAAGAAAACTGCTCTAAGATACGTAGCTGAGGTACGACACGGCACGGCTACGTATACAGAAAACTACAAATTTGCCGCATCGCTTCCCAACTAATCCGCTTTATGATAAGGTATGGCTGTAGTTCGAATTTGCCTTAAATTATATCTCATGCAGACGACGCAAACCAATTCGTAACCCTCTCTTTATCACATTTATCAGTATCGATATCAGTGTTACTTACGAGGGTTCCTGCAAAATATCCTGACCCATGAGTCGAGGTACTCGCCACTCCAGCAACAGTTTGACCAGCATAGTTACCAATCATCGGGAGACCCAGACCATACCGCGCGTCGAGTTCCTCTACAAAGTCCACAACTTTCTTCCCTCCTTCTACCTCTATATCCACATACTCTTTAACCAGGTTCTCTCTACGGCTGCTTGGCGGCTTCGTGAGGATTCTGTCCAGCTTTTTCATGTCAATAAGGATGTCACGTGTGCTTGTAATGCGTGACCAACTGGCACCTGCTCCGACTGCGCGAACCGTGTAGTTGTTTTTACTGGCATAGAAACATATTGCACTCAGCTGTTCTACCGGGCCCATACCTGTCAGGAAAAACAAAAAAATCTATCAGGCTCAGTAATGAATGGATGGTGCAGGTCAGTTTGCTTCTGAACCAGAGGCTCGTGTTTGAGCATCCGAAGCCCGATTATGTAAACCTGGTTAGCTATGCTTCTCATACATGGACTGCATAGCGGCTGCCAGAACCGCTTTCACATGCTTTCAGGCCCCGTCCACACGTATCCGGAACTTTTTGTATCCGCAAATTTATTTTTGCGGATACGGCAATGTTCGCGTCCACACGCAGCGTATTCGAATCGTTTTCACTGTCCACACGTATCCGGAAATTTCTTGATCCGCCCTGATGCACGCTAGTGCCTAGTCCCTTTGACGGATAGTTTTTCTTATTGAGCATGCGCAAAATCGTGTTTACGTCAGCGTATTCCAAAATTTCCGGATACTTGTGGACGGGGCCTCAGTTGAGCTGCGCTACTGCTGTACTTTGCGGTGGTGATAAGCGATAATAACAAGTTCTATGGCAAGTTTTTATTCTATTTTATTCTCTCATTAGACGTTTCACGAATTCGCTTGAGTGGCACTTGAAATAATGGTTCCAAGTAATTCGATGCTGGACTTGATGTGTTCATACATTTACATTTTATCAACTTTGATTCGGACTTGGACTCCTAGCTCTGTCCAATTGAATACGTTAAAGATCTTCCAGTGTGATTCATGGAGTTGCACCCGAGGAGGATGATGGCCTTGTCATTCTGAAGTGCCGAATCAACTGAACCACAAATTCTAATTTGGGGAATTAATATTCTTGGTTTGCATCTGCAATCACTGCCAAGAGAGTGAAATAACAAAAGCCATGACTGCCATGTTGGAAGATATATAGGCTAAATAAGAATATTCTCTAAAAAATATTTTGTCAAATTCTTCCAACGTGGCTGCTTTGGTGTCATGTCCGAACGAAGAATCCTTTTACGAATCTTTAAAAAAGGACGCAGTATATATCAGCCATAATTTCTATGGATTACATAGGAGTAGATAACATTTGAGGTATGTGTAGACACAACTCATAACTTCAGAATTATATTCGAATAAAATCAATTAAAAACGAGAGACACGCTTTTTACTGCAATTAAGGTGCCTTTAGGGCGTGTCCGATGGTCACGAAATACACACGATTTAAAACTTCCATTTATCCCTACACTTAGTATAAACTCATATTTGGCCAAGGTATACCTGGTGCCGCGCAGTTTGCAATACAAGTAGAGGAGTCGTGCTTCAAAATTATTGTATCGAGGCACCTTAAGATGCAGATGCTATGATGCAGCGCCAACATGTTTAAACAAGTTTGCAATATTTTCCTGTTTACCATTTTGAATAATCTGCTTGAGATCTTCTTCTTCAGCACACGACTTAAGTTCCCCTGGAAGTTTTCGTACTACCGATTTTTTGGGAAAGTAAAAATGGACCAAAGGCTGGACTGCTTCCATGCCATCAAAGTTGTAGAAAACCCGGCGATGGGAATAAGAACAGCAACGGATACATGGAAACAGGCACTGGTTGTTCTGACGGGTACAATAACAGCAGTCTAACGTATTTCCCATTTCTTAATCTTGAGGAGAACAAATCTCAGAATAGTGAAGTCATTTTCTGAAAAACTAAAAAGAAAATTCACAGTCGTTAAAGGCTTGGTTAAAAGCACTTACAGTGGTATTTGATAACAAAAGTCTTACTTTTTGGTTCAGTTGAGGAACTGAAATCGTTCGGGTTGGTAATTCGTTATGAATATAAAACACTTTGGATCTGTAAATAACTAGTGAACGTATATTGCACGGCATGTATTGCCCTCTCGCCTATCCAACCCCCCTATCGATCCCTTACCGATAAATAGCACGCTGAAATACTTCACAGTATGATCAAGAGACCATGTAAAAGAGTCTCTTGTTATTATCGATATCTCGATATAAACCCATATTAATATATCTTCAAAGACCAAATTATCCGTAATCTAGAACTTAAAGCTTACGACCACCTGATCTGAGAAAAAATGTTAGCCAATGAGAATCGAGAACATTTGCAAAACTAACGTGTTACTTTTCCTCTTGAAATCACTGATTTCCAGGTCACCAAATGAAAAAATAATAATGTTGCTAATACACTCTTCATAACAGTAACACAATAAATCATGAGTGTTATATTCTTATTGACCAATGGTGGGCAATTCTTTTGATTTATTATTATTATTATTATTATTATTATTATTATTATTATTATTATTATT